AGTAATTAACAACTACTATAATATTTATATACCTTTTAAATAAAGGTAAGTTTATAATAAAATTAATTAATATATCTTTTTAAGCTTATTTAAAGATTAAAAGTAGTTTAAGTAAGCTATTATACTTTTTTTAAAAGGCCTTTACTTTACAGCAAGTATAGCAACATAATACATATTAGCGTATAGTATAGAACATGTAGGGCTAGTAGTACTCTCTTTATAGTAAGTTAAAAGTCTTTTCTTTGCCTAAGTGTTCTCTAACAGGCAAGTTATATATAATTTAGAGTAGTTTAATTCTTAGTTTATTAAAATTAAAAATTATAAGTTAGTTATAGTAATATAGCTTACTATTTTAGTTTTTATAGTTAGCTAGTGTTACCTTTTTTAACTAACTAGCGCTGTTTTAAAGCAGGTCTAAAGTTTTTTAAATAAATTTATTATTTAAATACTTATTAGTAATAATTTAATTAATTATCTAATTTATTTTATTTAAGTTAAGGTCTAAAAATAGCTTAAGTTAAAGTAAAGTTTAGTGTTAAGCCTTTTACACTTTTTTTTAAGTAGAGACATTTTAGAATTACTTTATAAAAGCATCTAGTTTCCCTCTATCTTAACTAGAATAATAAGTAATCTTAAAATTAAAATAAGATAAGTATTTAAACTAATAAGCTTATTAGTAGCTAAGTTATTTTATAGTTATAAAGTACTATAAGTTTTTATAGTTAAATAAAACCTATATTAGATGCGCTATACTTTTTAGTTTAGGTTACTATTATTTAAAGCAGTGTACTATAGTAAGTAATTTTTTATTATAAATCTTATAATTACCTTCTACAGGACTTATTCTTTTTAAAAAGTATGTAATAGGCCTAATAGTCCTATCTAGCTTAGTCTAAGAAAGAACTTCTGCTACTACATAGTCTAAGGCATTAGCTTTTACAAGTATTAGTAGTTTAAAGTTAAAGTAGTAGAGTATTAAAGCTTTAGTAAAAGCTTTTTTTAGCTAGTTAAAAGACTATTAGTAATTTAAGTTAAAGTTAAATTAAACTTTTTTTTTAGTAAGTGTAATTATAAAGCTTACTAGCTATAAAAAGTTGTTAATAAATTATTAGTAAAAGTTAGTAAATTTTATAAAAGCTTAAATATTTTTTATGTTCTTTAGGTATTACTAATCTAGCATAGTCTAAACCTTAATAGGGTTTATTTAGATGCTATTTATAAAAATTACATATTCTAAATATGTAACTTTTAATTAGTAGAACTTATATTTGTCTATATTAAGTTATAGACCTACTTCTTCTATAGCCTTTAGCACTAAGCATATATGCTATTTATGCTCTAAAAGGCTATTACTATAGATTAGAATATTATTAATATACATAGTGTAGAACATGTTTAGGTAGGGTTAGAGTAAGTTATTTATAAAATGTTAAAAAGTACTAGGCGTGTTAGCTAAGCTAAAAGGCATTACTAGGTACTTAAATAGTCTATATTAGGTCTAAAATGCTGTTAGCTACTTATTACCCTTTACTATCTTTAGCTTATTAAAGGTAGTAATAATATTTAACTTTATAAAATACTTTACTTTACTTAGTTAGCTTAAAGTTTCTTATAAAAAAAAATTAAGTATTAGTTTTTAATAATAATAGTGTTTAGTTCTTAGTAGTTAACATAAAATTAAAGCCTACCTCTAGGTTTTTTTATAAATAGTATAAGTAACACTACTAGTAAAAAGCTAGCTTAAATAAACTTTTTTTTTAAGTTTTTATTAAAGTATTTTTAAAGCACTTTTAATTTATTTAGTAACATTTTATATAGTAGCCTATAACTAGGTTGTTTACTAGGCTTAAGAGTTATTTAGTAATTATATAGACATTATATTAAAAGCTTATTAAACTTATTTTAAAAAAAACATGTAATAAGTTATAGTAGTTTTAAAGAACTATTATTTTTAAGTTAGTGTGTTTTTAAGAAGCTAAAGCTTAGTCTATATTAGAAATTATAACTGCGTAGATTTTATAATTTAGTTATTAAGCTAAAGTTATAAATAAAGCAGGTTTTATATAGCAGATATTTATCTACTGTTTAAGTCCTAGTTTATATTTAAATTAAGTAAGTAAAAGTTTCTTAAAAGCTTTTTTTTTTTAAGTTTAAGTAGTTATTAAATTATTTTATATAGCTTATTTTAGTAAAAGGCCTAGCTTATTAGCCTTACTTAGGTAGTTTTTTTCTAGGTTATTAAAAAGTAAGTCTAAAAACCTTTTATATTAAGTGCTATTTAGGTGTTATTTAGGTGTAAGTGTAAGCATATATCTTAGCATTAAAAAAAGTTAAAGTTTAAAACTTACTTTTAGTAATTAAAAGTAACTTTATGCTAATATAGCTATAGTTATTTTAGAATTAGGTTATAACATCTTATATTTATTACATAGAGTTTAATCTGCTCCTTATAGTGTTAGTAAGTAATTATAATAGTTATAGTATAAAAAATAAAACCTCTTTTAAGTTATTTTCTATTAAATTTAGTTAGGTAAATTATTTAGGTAAGTAGTGTTAATTAAAGATTTAGTTTATATACTAGTTTTTTATTAATGTAACTTATACTATTTACTTTTAAGTTAATAAAAGCTTATATTAAAGCTAATATAGTTTTTTATTATAAATATATAAGAATATTAACTTAGTACTTTTAGTTATTAGTAGGGGACTTAGCTTATAAGTTAGTAAAGATCTAGTGTTAAATTAGTCCTAGAGAGCAACTTAGCCCTAAAACAAGCCTTTTTACAGGCTTCTACTGCTATAGCTGCAGCTATGTTAAGAGTAGTAAAAAGAATTAAAGCTTAAATATAAGTTAAAGCCTTTATAAAAATAAAATTAAAATAGTAAAAATTTTTAATAAGTACTAGCAGCACTACTTATGTAGACTTAAAGAAGAGAAATAAAGTAGTTTTAGAAAATATAACTATACTTACTATACTTAAAATATTAACTTTTTTTTTATAATCTTTACACTTTTTAAAACTAACTAAAGCATAATTTAAATTAATTTTTATTACATTAAGGTTCTTATTTATAACTGCGCTAGTTTAGGGGCGTATTAGAGCTTGTACAGAGAGGAACTTTATGTTATTATTATAGGTAGCAATTAGGTTTACATACGCATTAAAGTTGTTTAGAAGGGGTTCTCCTACTATAGCATGTTATAGTTTAGTTAAAAGGGAGTTATATAAGGCTATAATTAGACTTATCTTATTTAGGCCTATATTAAATGCAAGTTAGTAAAACTTAGTAAAGTGTAAAGTAAAGCTTTTTTTTTTATTATAAAGTGTTTAAGTAACTTAAAGCTGTTAACTTTTTATTTAAGTTTTTATAAGTTACTTATAAAAACACTATAAATTAATTTAAGTTAATAATATTTTTATTTATTAGTAAGTTAATTAAAGCTATTATATTATAGTTAAGTTAAAAGTAGGCATATAGTAACTAAAAGTGTTTAAAAAAAATTAGTCTATATTTCTTTTAAGTTTATATTAAAGCTTATGTAAAAAGAAAAGTAAGTCTTTCTGTTTTTTATTAAACAGTAAAAAATTAAGAAGTTAGTTAAATTTTATTACTAAGTTAAAAAAGTTATAAGTTATAAGTAGTATTAAGTAAAAAAAAGTTAAGCTATTTTTAAACTTTTAAGTAAGCTTTAAAGCTAGTAAGTTCTTAGTTTTTACTACTATAATAAAAGTTAAAGTAGAAATAGACTACTTAATAATATAAAGCTATTTTTTAAAGTCTTTTTAAAAAGCTTTAAAGCTTATAACATAGTAGCTTTTTTATAAAGTAAGCGCTTTTTAAAATGCTTTTTAGCTTACTTTAATAGCTTAGAGTTATGTAAGTACTAAGCTTATTAAATTAAATTTAGAAGCTATTCTTAGCTAGAGTTTTAACATAACATAATGTTATAATTATATATAAGTAAGGTTATAGAGCTTTGTAAAGGTCTAGTTTAATTACTACATAAAGTATTATAGTAAGTACAAGACATTATGTAAGAAATAAAAAAGTTTAAAAGAAAATTAGTAATTAAATACTTAGCTTAAAAGTCTAAGCGCTTTAGGTATAAATTAAGCCTATTTTAGGTTTAGTTAGTGTTAAGGTAGTTTATGCTTAAGTTTATGTCTATGTTATGTTGTATTTATATTAGACGTGCACTAATAATACTCTAGTACGCGTCTAATACAGTTATGTCTAGGATCTAGGGAGGATACCGTGACAGTCTTATAGCTAGGTGTTAGCATCTATGTACACATCTATAAGCTGTATAAGCTAAGTTTAATAGGGCTTACTTACTAATAAAATACGTAATAACTTCTAGCATTAAAAAGTAGTTAGAACTACTCTACTTATCTAAGCTTAACATAATTTTACTATAAGCTTTACATAATATAGTCTAAATCTCTTCTTTTTACTCTATAAAACTGTTATAAAGATATTATAATAGCGCAGTTAAGAAAGTAAAGAGAGTGTTAAGAAAATTAAGTTAATTTTAGGTAATAAAACTTTAACATTTAGCTAAGGTTAATTGCTGTAGCAACTAATTAGATACAACTACCTAGTTAATAAACACCTGCGCTAGAGCACCCTTCTGCTACAGCGTATAAGCTACCTGCCGCCTTGCTCCTGCTACCTCTGCTGCTGCTATAAAGGGATTTAAAGGCCTCTAAGGGCTATCTAGCAGTACACTAATGTTAGCATTAATTTTATAAACTACCTTAAGATGCTTTACTATATAGACATTACTATTAATAAGTTTAGCTGCCTTTTAAACACTAGCTTTATAGTAAGCTTAATAGAGCTACAGCTGCTTCTTCTTATCTGCCTTAGTAACATGCTGCAGATCTGCACTATATCTCTATATAAATAACACCTTCTAGCGCCTAAGAAGTTGCAACTTATGCTTTATATAATATTTTAGCTAATCTGCGCTTAATTTAACGCTAGAACACTATATATTATTCTTGTCCGAATAGTGATATTCGGGCGCCTGGTTGATAGTCACGTGGCTCGGATGCGCCCGGATCCCTGTGCACGGAGATCTGTGCGCAGAGTTTGGGACTATATCAACCCCTTTCCTTCGTACGATAGAAAACAACAAGAAGCAATCAACACTAGTTACCCAACACCCCTGTGCAATGTTTACACCGTGCAAACCTCTCCGTCTCGTACGCATTTGCTGACACCAAGTGCTAGCTAGCAGAGAGTCCATTCAACAATTCTAGTTAATCTTAAAGGTAATTTTAACATTATAGCAGGCATTATTTAGGTGCTCCTTAGCCTAGGTATCTTGCATATGCTTTAAAGGAGTTGCTTCACGCGAGGACAGCGTAGATAGGCTAGGTGAGGCCATGCAGGCCTTCTCTAAGCGTTGGGATGAGGCAGCATGATATATCTGGGTGGCAGAACAGCTAGATAAGGCATGTGAGGATAAGGCTTGTAAGGATAAGGCCTACAAGGATAGAGCCTTGTCACGGTATCCTCCCCGGATCCCAGACATAACTATATTAGACGCGTACTAGAGTATTATTAGTGCACGTCTAACATAAACACAACACAACATAGACATAAACTTAAGCATAAACTGCTTTAACACTAACTAAACCTAAAACAGGCTTAATTTATACTTAAAGCGCTTAGACTTTTAAGCTAAGTATTTAATTACTAATTTTCTTCTAAACTTTTCTATTCTTTACATAACATCTTATACTTACTATAATACCTTATGTAGTAATTAAACTAGACTTTTGTAAAGCTCTATAACCTTACTTATATATAATTATAATATTATGTTATGTTAAAACTCTAGCTAAGAATAGCCTCTAAATTTAATTTAATAAGCTTAGTACTTATATAACTCTAAGCTATTAAAGTAAGCTAAAAAGCTTTTTAAAAAGCGCTTACTTTATAAAAAGCTACTATATTATAAGCTTTAAAGCTTTTTAAAAGAACTTTAAAAAATAGCTTTATATTATTAAGTAGTTTATTTCTGCCTTAACTTTTATTATAGTAGTAGAAACTAAGAACTTACTAGCCTTAAAGCTAACTTAGAAGTCTAGAGATAGCTTAACTTTTTTCTACTTAATACTGCCTATAACTTATAATTTTTTTAATTTAGTAATAAAATCTAACTAACTCTCTAATTCTTTACTATTTAATAAAAAATAAAAAGACCTACTTTTTTTTTTTATATAAGCTTTAATATAAACTTAAAGAAAACATAGACTAATTTTCTTTTAAACACTTTTAGTTACTATATGCCTACTTTTAACTTAACTATAATATAACAGCCTTAATTAACTTACTAATAAATAAGAATATTATTAACTTAGATTAATTTATAGTGTTTTTATAAGTAACTTATAAAGACTTAAATAAAAAGTTAATAGCCTTAAGTTACTTAAACACTTTATAATAAAAAAAAAAAGCTTTACTTTACACTTTACTAAGTTCTACTAACTTATATTTAATATAGGCCTAAATAAGATAGGTCTAATTATAGCTTTATATAACTCCCTCTTAACTAAACTATAACACGCTATAGTAGAAGAACCCCTTCTAAACAACTTTAATGCGTATGCAAACCTAATTACTACCTACAATAATAATATAAGGTTCCTCCTTATATAAGCTCTAATACACCCCTAAACTAGCGCAGTTGCAAATAAGAACTTTAATATAATAAAAATTAATTTAAATTATGCTTTAGTTAGTTTTAAAAAGCATAAAGATTATAAAAAAAAAAGTTAATGCTTTAAGTATAGTAAGTATAGTTATATTTTTTAAAACTGCTTTATTCTTTTTTTTTAAGTCTATATAAGTAGCGCTACTAGCACTTATTAAAGATTTTTACTATTTTAATTTTATTTTTATAAGGGCTTTAACTTATATTTAAGCCTTAATCTTTTTTACTACTCTTAACATAGCTGCAGCTATAGCAGTAAAAGCTTGTAAAAAGGCTTGTCTTAAAGCTAAGTTGCCCTCTAGGACTAATTTAACACTAGATCTTTACTAACTTATAAGCTAAGTTCCCTACTAATAACTAAAAGTACTAAGTTAATATTTTTATATATTTATAATAAAAAACTATATTAGCTTTAATATAAGCTTTTATTAACTTAGAAGTAAACAGCATAAGTTATATTAATAAAAAACTAGCATATAAACTAAATCTTTAATTAATACTACTTACCTAAATAATTTACTTAACTAGATTTAATAAAAAATAACTTAAAAAAAGTTTTATTTTTTATACTATAACTATTATAATTACTTACTAACACTATAAAGAGTAGATTAAGCTTTATATAATAAACATAAAATGTTATAACCTAATTTTAGAATAACTATAGCTATATTAGCATAAAGTTACCTTTAATTACTAAAAGTAAGTTTTAAACTTTAACTTTTTTTAATGCTAAAATATATGCTTACACTTACACCTAAACAACACCTAAATAGCACTTAATATAAAAGGTCTTTAGACTTACTTTCTAATAACTTAGAAAAAAACTACTTAAGTAAAGCTAATAAGCTAGGCCTTTTACTAAAATAAGCTATATAAAATAATTTAATAACTACTTAAACTTAAAGAAAAAAAAGCCTTTAAAGAACTTTTACTTACTTAATTTAAACATAAACTAGGACTTAAATAGTAGATAGACATCTGCTATATAGAACCTGCCCTATTTATAACCCTAGCTTAATAACTAGATTATAAAATCTATGTAGTTATAATTTCTAATATAAACTAAGCTTTAGCTCTCTAAAAACACACTAACTTAAAAATAATAGTCTTTTAAAACTACTATAACTTATTATATGTTTTTTTTAAAATAAGTCTAATAAGCTTTTAATATAATGTTTATATAATTACTAAATAACTTTTAAGCCTAGTAAATAACCTAGTTATAGGCTACTATATAAAATGTTACTAAATAAATTAAAAGTGCTTTAAAAATACTTTAATAAAAACTTAAAAAAAAAGTTTATTTAAGCTAGCTTTTTACTAGTAGTGTTACTTATACTATTTATAAAGAAACCTAGAAGTAGGCTTTAATTTTATATTAACTACTAAAAACTAAACACTATTACTATTAAAAACTAATACTTAATTTTTTTTTTACAAAAAACTTTAAACTAACTAAGTAAAGTAAAGTATTTTATAAAGTTAAATATTATTACTGCTTTTAATAAGCTAAGAATAGTAAAGGGTAATAAGTAGCTAATAGTATTTTAGACCTAATATAAACTATTTAAGTACCTAGTAATGCCCTTTAGCTTAGCTAACACGCCTAGTACTTTTTAACATTTTATAAATAACTTACTTTAACCCTACTTAGACATGTTCTATACTATGTATATTAATAATATTCTAATCTATAGTAATAGCCTTTTAGAGCATAAATAGCATGTACGCCTAGTGCTAAAGGCTATAAAAGAAGTAGGTCTATAACTTAACATAAATAAATGCAAGTTCTACTAATTAAAAGTTATGTATTTAGAATATATAATCTTTATAAATAGTATCTAAATAAACTCTATTAAAGTTTAGACTATACTAGATTAGTAATACCTAAAGAATGTAAAAGATATTTAAGCTTTTATAAAATTTACTAACTTTTACTAATAATTTATTAATAACTTTTTATAGCTAGTAAGCCCTATAATTACACTTACTAAAAAAAAAGTTTAATTTAACTTTAACTTAAATTACTAATAGTTTTTTAACTAACTAAAAAAAGCCTTTACTAAAGCTTTAATACTCTACTACTTTAACTTTAAACTACTAATACTTATAGAAGCTAATGCCTTAGACTATGTAGTAGCAGAAGTTTTTTTCTAGACTAAGCTAGATAAGACTATTAAGCCTATTATATACTTTTTAAAAAAAATAAGTTTTGTAAAAGGTAATTATAAGATCTATAATAAAAAATTACTTACTATAGTATGCTACTTTAAATAATAGCAACTTAAACTAGAAAGTGTAGCGCATCTAATATAGGTCTTATCTAACTATAAGAACTTATAGTACTTTATAACTATAAAATAACTTAGCTACTAATAAGCCTATTAGTTTAAATACTTATTTTATTTTAATTTTAAGATTACTTATTATCTTAGTTAAAATAAAAGGAAACTAGATGCTTTTATAAAGCAATCCTAAAACATCTTTACTTAAAAAGAAGTGTAAAAAGCTTAACACTAAACTTTACTTTAACTTAAGCTATTTTTAAACTTTAACTTAAATAAAATAAATTAAATAATTAATTAAATTATTACTAATAAATATCTAAATAATAAATTTATCTAAGAAACTTTAGACTTACTTTAAAACAGCACTAGTTAGTTAAAAAAGGTAACACTAGCTAACTATAAAAACTAAAATAGTAAGCTATATTACTATAACTAACTTATAATTTTTAATTTTAATAAACTAAGAATTAAACTACTCTAAATTATACATAACTTACCTATTAAAAAACACTTAGGCAGAGAAAAGACTCTTAACCTACTATAGAGAGAGTACTACTAGCCCTACATGTTCTATACTGTACACTAATACATATTATGTTGCTATACTTACTGTAAAGTAAAGGCCTTTTAAAAAAGGTATAATAGCCTACTTAAACTACTCCTAATCTCTAAATAAGCTTAAAAAAATATATTAATTAATTTTATTATAAACCTACTTTTATTTAAAGGGTATATAAATATTATAGTAGTTGTTAATTACTTAACTAAGTATTAACACTTAATACTATGTTTTTTTATAACTGCCTCTAATATAGCCT